GACAAAACAGCAGTCATAAAATGTCACACTGTACATCAACCAAGCATCTCCTAATTTCCACTCCACTGAAATTTCAGCATGGCTGTTAGTGAATTTCCATGTGTTGCAAAGCTGATTTTGGCAAATAACTCCATATAGCCAAATGGCTTGGGTGAGATCCAAAGCACTTGGGTAATCAGAACTTTGGATAAGAGGGAGTGATATTTAATGAGGTTAGCATGACCAAAGAAACACTCTATAAATTTGGATAACTACGAATGTTGCATTACCAAACAATGGACTGTGAGAATATCAGAGTAATATTTTCCCTCCCCAGTCCTCAATGAATTCACATAAAAGGTGACACTAGTTCAATTTATCATATAGATATATGCAACAAAAGCTTTGTAGTGTCTTGGGATTTTCACAAGCAAGACATGAAACTGCAAAAGATGTAGCACAAATACTGCTCCTCCTGGAATTCAGGTGAAAACTTTGCTGCAATTAATTATTCTCACCCATATCGATGGTAATTCTGAAAACTCTAATTAGGAAATAAAAACAGGTATCTCAAGCTAACTGTGCTGGCCTTTACTGGGTGCATATTGTGAAGAAAGTAAGTCTGAATTCTAAAGACCTTCAGCTTATTGTGGACAAACGTCATTACTTTGCCAAGAATAACCTTGCAACAAATCATGGTTTGTTTGGGGTTAATTTTTACATGTTAATAGACCCAAGCCAGAATGCCATCTCTTGCTGGGTTCAGACTTCATGACAAGCTAATAATGGAGATTCATTTCGTTGTTCCTGCTTCAAGTGGGAGTAGGGATATACAGTAGGGGAGAATTTACTGTACTTTTTAGGCTTTTATAGGAATTTTCCAAAATTTGAATCTTCTAACAGTTGCAAATTTTGGAATGGAAAAGAACTAGCAAATCTTTCAAATAAAATTGAAGGAGGGAGGGAGCGAAACAGAAACCGACATCAATTCCCATGACTCTTAGTGCTTGGTTCTCAGTCTGGGCTTGAATACCTAGGCATTCAACAATATAAAGTGCTGAAATAGAAGTTCCGATCTCTGTTGAGAGAGAGAGGTTGCTTATCTGTCACAAATATATTGCAGTACTCTCCCTGCTGGAAATTGTTCCAGCTGTTGAATATGATTGACATAGATGAATGAAGATTTCAGTTCAGATTGTTTTTCAAGAATTTGTCAACACTTGGGAGTCACATATTTGGGAGATAAGGAACTGAAGGTTTAAAAAAATGCAAATGCAAAAGAAAGTGAAATTGACCAATTTTCCTACATTTGTGTAGGAATAATCACATAGTACACACCAGCATTCTGCTCATTCTTGATATCTTGCAGAGCTTGGCTGATGGTAACATGTAAACCCTGCCATTTAGGTATCCACATAATAGAATTGGACCTTGCAACATGTAAACCCTGCCATTTACTGTAGGTATCCACATAATAGAATTGGACCTTGCAAAAGTTAATTTTTGGATTACGGTTGCAAGACTCTCCCAGCAAACATGGCCAATGACAATGCTGGAAGGGGGATTCTGGGTGCTGTAGGCCAAAAAGTAACTTCTCAGTTTCTGATTAAAGCATGCAACATTTGGAAGGCATTTGCATGAATGGCAACATTTAAGCCCAGAGTGATATTTATAATTCAATACAATTATTCAAGCAATTATAAAACTAAGTTTTGTTTTTGTATGTGCTGTGTTCTACAAGGCCCTGCTCTTGGTGACATGGTGTTCTGCAGCTGACCTGCATTCCTTTCAAAACCGTTTAATCACACACAGCTGACCAGCATTCCTTTGTGTGTTTTTCTCAGAAAAAAAACACCCCAAACCCACCTAATCAAATGCATTTTGAATACCCCAAACAGTTATTTAATCTCCATATATGTACAAGTGTGAAACACGTGTTGTCCAAATACTCTTTCCAAAAAGTGCAGCTTTAAGTCAGACGTTTCCAAAATAAACCCTGCACAGTATTTTCCCCTCCAATTCAAAATCAACACACAGTCCTTCCAGCGTGCATTTTAGGGCAGCCATCTCTCCCCCTGCTCCCCATCACCCAGAAATAAGCTCAGCATTTGTAATACTATAATACATGGTTACTATTTTCAGGCATTTTAGAAATATACTTCTAAAGAGCAGCAAAGCTATTTCCCAGCTTTTGGCCAGTACAGTGAATGAACTGTGAAAGGAGAATAATTCCTTCCAGCACATTTCACACTATCAAAGTTTTAGCTTCAAAATTTCTTGGAAGAGATTCTGAAAACATTCCCCTTACTGTGTTTGAATTCATTTCATCTGCAAGAGGACAGGCTCGGTACAGATGCAATTTACAAACCATTTAAGGCTACTTCATACATAATATACTTCATGCACACTTTATGGGGCATAATCCCACTGTACTCCATGGAGCTGATTTCTTCATAAGACTGAATTGTTAAAAGCCATAAATCAGAAGTGGGCAGAAGACGGGCTGCAAGCGAATGGATCTTGGCTTGTTTGGGGGAAATGGCTTGTGTCTCTGAGTTGCTTTGCTTCTTCTAAAGAAATATGGGAGTAGACCTGGACATCATCATCTACTACCCTGAATTCAGTGGTCTCACTTCTGAGCAAGCAGACATTGCGCTGCCAGTTCTTGTTTAAAATGTACTTCTGCATCAGGGTTAATGCACATGTTTTGGGTAAAACCTACAATGTTATACAGCAACTAGATGGGAGATTGTCCCAGACTGAAGTGAAGTTTTCTATGCTCCACACTCTGGAACTTTGCACTGGCTGGTTGCTGTCATTCAGAAGGAAATGTTTCATTGTTTCAGGAAGGTGTGCTGCAAAACTCCACACAGCAGAGGGTCAAATCAGGGACATTTCTCCCTGTAGTATGTCAGACCGCCCTCTGCCATTGCCCCTGTCATCTATTCTATCAATATCCTCTTTTTTGTTCAGTTTACAAAGTGACATCATACCAAATTGAGAAGACATGGACACTTCTGAATTACAACTGCCGGAGGATTAAAAGGGTAATGCTTTTTAAAAAAGAACACCTTTAAAAAGAGGTGTTGACCCTAGGGCTATGAGCCTGCAGGAAATAATGTGGAACCATCAAACCATGTTCCAATGAAGACATCACTCTCAATTTCATCAGGGCATCAGGACAAACATGCAGGCAAATGACAAAATCCACCAAAAATAGCTCTGCTGGTCAAACAAAATAAACCAAATGGTCACTGAAAAAGGCTGGCTCTACTCGTGGTTAGGTTTACATAGCATAGTCAATTTTTTTTTTAAAAAAAGGCAAAACCAACAGCGAGAACTCCAGCACTGTGAGATGAGTCCCACTCTAGTTTTGCCCTTACTACAAATAATAATAAAATAACTACAGGTATAAGACCAAAGCCCACAAAGTGGTCATACTGTTATAATTACATTCTGTAAAAGTTACAATTTGCTTTCACATTTCTCATGGGTACCTAAAATATCACACACAAACACAAGCATTCATGCACACGGAACTACAAACGTCTGACCTATGATCCAAACGCGTAAGGGGATTCATGACTGGAACACCAGGCCCTAGAATTTTGAACCCTAAGCCACCCATGCAATACACATATTTTTTCCTTTCGCCTTGTCATCACCTCAGCACTCACAACAGAACTAAGACATCAGCACAGAACAAAGCACAAAGTATCAAAGGAGCCAGTGCTTGAACCATGTGAAAAACTTCCTCTACCGTTTCCTGAAGTCATGGACGTGTAGGTACAAAAGAAAGTAGAAATCTACATTCACACCATGGAAGGAGTTAAGTTAGCCTTCATTTGGTTGTGATCATAACATGATGGCTTAGCATTACCTTGAATATCCGGTTAAAAAAATTATAAGTAGAGATGGACATGATCCACTGATTCAGTGGTTTGGGGTGGTTTGTTTCTCAGCTGAATAGCTGATCAATGGTTCGGTGCCCTGCCCACTTCAGCAGGTGCCCATTCAGCAGCAGTGCCCCATCCTGCCTCCTCCTAGAGGTCAGTTATTCAGAGGACCAACGTGACACACATTTATTTATTTATTTATTTATTTATTTATTTATTCATTCATTCATTCATTCATTCATACATGCACACACACACACACACACACACACACACACACACACACACACACATGTTTATGTTTTAAGATTATTATCATTAGTAGTAGCAGTAGTTTCTGTTGTAGTTGTTGTCGTCATATACAGCTGCTTACAGGAACATATTGCACAGCTGTTCTAATGCAGGGATGTGCAACTTGAGGCCCTCAAGATGTTGCTGAACTCTAACTCCCATCAGTCCTCACAATTGGCTCTGTTAATTAGCCCAAAAAACATCTATTTCTTGAGATCCCTTCACATTTCTCCACCCATAATTTAAATCCACTCATAAGTTAAAGTATATTTAAAAAATGCAAACATTTAGGGGAAAAACCAATTTCAAGTTAAAATATACAGAAATACTCAACACACACTCAAGTGAGTAAAATTTAATTTCTCTTAAGAGGCAGAAGGAACAAAATAAATTGAATGTTAAGCATTGTATCTGTGGAGATTCTCAGTCATCCAGGTGTGGTTATCTGCAAGTTGAGTCATGGCAACTAGACTTCTTTCTTATTAGGTGGAAACGTTTAGCATACTTGGATGAGTAGCAAAACTTGAATGAGGAGGGAAAGCCTAATAAGAAAAAATCCAGTTGCCATGACTCAACTTCCGGTTAAACATTGTGCTGCATCTTACACTCGTCTCCCCCAGCCCAAAATTTCTTTATATTCCCATAGTGGCATAAAAAGTTCAACTTCCCACTTTGGGGACCAATGATCTAGAGCAGTGATTCCCAACCCTGAGTAACCCAGGTGTTCTTGGACTGCAATTCCAAGAAGGATTTGCCATTAGCTGTGCTGGTTTGGATTTTGGGGAGTTGCAGTCCAAGAATACCTGGGTTACCCACAGTTGGGAACCACTGATTTAGAGGACTGTAGGTTGCCAACCTGTGTTCTAATTAAAATGTGCAACTTGATCTAGAGACTATATTGCAGGATTGCTCCCTGTCCTCATCTCTCCACTATTACTTCACTAAATACTGTATATGCAATTTAACACATGCAGAATTGTCACATGTGATGATGTCTACGTACATACATGATATATTTTCCTATACAATGTGCTTTCAAACCAATTAGTTTTTTCATTGATGTAACCATTACCTGGAAATAGTCAAGTGTATTTTATGTTACATATTTAAGCAGTGGAAATATTGCATCTTTGGCTAATTTCACACAGATACTTGTGTTTTTAGAAGTATAGACAGCTTTCTGTTGCCATGTTAGTACTTAATACAAAATTTACTGTGTTTAAAAATTAGTTAAAGCTGCAACTTAATCATATACAGAAAACTAAGTTAAATAAATTAGCTGCCACTTTCACTTGTATAATAGCATCATACAACACTGCCTTCAAGACTTTTTACTGCACCACTCCATATGAAAGACAATAAATGAATAGTCATGATGGGTAACCTTGCTTCCAACTTGTTACAGGCATTCAGCTCAGAATAAGGTTTTAGAACACTGATGAAGCAATGTAGAAATGTTTCATTACTTCTGGCTGGGATTTATGTATGGTAAACATTTCATCTGTACCAGCACTGTCAAGTTCAAATCTTTTACATGCGTAGCATTAACTTGAGCAGACGTCACATGTTATTTGCGTTTCAACAGCATTTGTTCATCTGAGACAGAAAATCAAAAGTGTATCTGATTTCTGTTTTGAAATTTAAAAGCAAGCAAAGAGGGAAAAGTAAATATAACAAGAAAAACACATGTAAGCAAAGAAAAAGGCTGGTTGCCCGGGGTGGGGGTGGGGGAACACCTTGTCTTGATTGGGAAAACATGCTAAAGGAGAAAATAAAATTTAAATATGAAATGTGAAGAGATAGTGTAAACACATCTGAAGAGCCCATCCAGTACATCCAAAATAATACTTACTAGATCATCATTTTCTCCAATTAACACGTGAGTTCAGTGTTATCAGTTTTGAAGTTAACTCCATTATGAGAATTTTCTTTCTACAAAACATGGTCTGGAAGACTTAAGTAATATGACCACCTGGATTACGTTTCGCAAACATTCAGTGCACACTGAAGAAATCTGGACACAGAGTAACATTTTCTAACTTCTGGTAACTCTCAATGCTATAAAATAAAATATGTTTTTTCTAACAAAGGGAGTTAAAATTAGTTTAATGGAAATGTGCTTCATACATTAGAGTGGTGCCACCAATTCCATCTGCATCTTCTCAAGGAAGCATGATGTGTGCTTTCCAAGGTTTTAACGAAGCCAAGAAACATGGCTTTATTTTAAACAGATGTGTGTTAATTCTGTTTAGTGTCTTCAGGTATTTTTAATCTAATGCATAGAGCTATGTAATTCATGTTTTATGAAATGGTGCAAACATAAGAATTGAGGAAGTGTCTTCCTGGATCACACCAAAAGTCCATCTTGATTAGTATCCTGTTTTAAAAAAACAAAAAAAATCAACATGAATGCCAGTGAGAAACTAAGAAATGGAATGGGAAAGTAGCTTATTTTGCCTGTTTTTTCCCTTCATCATATAAAAACTGGTTTGTTTGAATAATTTGCATTGCTTTTTTTCTGTACAGCATGTGTTCCCTGTCTACTTGCAGACCCTAAGATACTGAGATGATCAAAACCATTGTTTCAGAATCAATACTGACATTATAAGATACTGATTTGCTCAAAAGCACCTGACAAAACAATATGTGATTTATGGGCCCACCTTCCAAATCTCACCTTGTAACTCATAGAAGTCAATGTAGGCAATTCAATTTCTACCTCGATCCCAGACATCCACTCATGAGTTATGGTATAGTTATGGTATAGTTAAACACACACACCCCTATCCAATTTCACTCCTTTGTAAAACTAAATTGTTTTCCCAGGTTGAATGAGAAGAAAGTCTTCTACCCTTTGAGATAGTGGTTCCATGGCCCCGGAAGCTCTTTGACTACAGCTCCCAAAAGGCTTAGGGATTCTGGGAATTAATATTTTTTTTAAAAAAAATTCTGGAGCCCAATTTGGAAACCACTGCTTCAGTGTTAACACCACACTGTGAATTTGGTATATCACTCCAACAAAATAGATATCAATGAGACGCCTAATTTATTTTGTACATGTGGTGTGCGAGTGCCTGTGTGCGCATGCATACACCCGGGTACTTGCAACAGAAACACCAAAGTCGATAGCCAAATCTGCTTTGTGAGGTTTAGAAAGCGCATTTGTTCTTCAGCTTTCTGTTGACAGTGTCACGTCATCCAGATACTGAAGACCCCTTAGGTGCCGAAGTACTGTAGCTCATAAGCAGTAAAGGTTCCTCTCCATCTCTCCCAGCTTTGGGATGAGGTGTCCTTCACTTGTTGCTATGTGCCATTGAGCCAGAACCAACCTACAGTGACCCTAACAGGGCTTTCAAGGTAAGTGAGATATGTAAGGAGTGGTTTTACCAGTACCGCACCCCTGGTGAGTTTCCATGGCTGAGTGGGGATTCCAACCCAGGCCTGCAGAATTCTAGTTTGCTACACTATTCACTGCACCAGACTGAGTGCCTTACTTAGGCAACACTCACATAGCCTAGCTGCTTGCATTTAGGGGAACTGATCCAAAATTTAGAGCAATGTCTACAACAAGAATCAGCAAAGTACACCTGGCCCTAGGCTTTTTTTATGTAGCCTCTGGATGCCCTCGTGCTAACAAATGTCATTTTCTACTCCTGGAAGCCTCCTGAGCATTGGCTTTGCAATAAAAATGGAATGCAGTCTCTCCAATCCACAAAAAATGAAACAGAGAGTAGACTTACAGCCACATTCAGGTTGGATTTTTCATCGTTTTTGCTCATCATTCAGGCTGGTGTAGCCCTTGGTGGATTGTGAAACAGAAAATAGAGCCTCTCAAGCTGCCTATCCTTGCATTAGAAATGAAGGAATTGCTTATCCTGATTCTAGCCGTGGGATCCTGAGAACACCCACATTATCCCAAATTTAAAATACAGGTGCATACTTGCATATCGCATTACCTTCACATTATGGAACTGCATACTGTGTTGCCAAGCTCATACTCAGCATGGGCCTTATAATTTCCTTGAGTAACTGGCTGCCTGAGTAGTTTTTTTTTTAATATGGATTGTTATACCTTACTGCTTTGAATGTGTTTTGGTGTTGCTTCTGTTTTTTAATATCGTATTTGTTCAATCCTTTTTGTTTTTATATGTATCGTGTTTGAATTGATGTAAGCTGCTTTGGGTCCTTTTTCAGGAGAAAGGCAGGGCGAAAATATTTTCAATAAATACGGTTGGTTTATACACTTAGAGCACAACTGGTATGATTATCATTTGCTTCAAACTGTTGTGACTGTGATTATAGGTCAAGTAATATTAATATGTTTGCACTTATATACCTAATTTATGGGCAACATGATTTGTTGTTGTTTGACTTAAACAACTGAATAAAATAAACCCAACAGCAGTTGTAAGACTGTGGGAAGAAATTTCAAACCTCCCAGAAGCATATTATCACCTGTCCTGATGAAAATATATACCGTCCTAGTTCTTAATTTCTAAAGCTAGCTGTATCCAGGATCAATCATGCGTGCCTTGAAAGTTCTCTTGTCCTGCATGTTGATTTTGTTGTGGTTATAAAACAAGGCACTTGGCACATAATCAAAGCCATCCCATACTTTATTATTAATTCATAAATGCTAGGCTAAGCTCTGGGTTTGGAAACCATCGCAGGGGCCAGGTCCCGATGAGCACTTGTTCCAATTAAGTTTTATATTGTCTGCTGGTTTCCGATCCGTTACCACATATATATTATATGCTCTGAAACCCTCCTGGGCAACAACTGAGAGGCTTGCAATCCATACCTACTTTTATAAATGGATGTTAAACATTTCAGGATTCTGCTATGTTACAAGAACTCCGTTATGTCAGTTTTCCTTCTTGCACTCTTTCAAATGTTGGTGGACAGTTAACAAGAACTTAAGACGTAACTATGTGTATGTACAATATTGATTTGATTATTTAGCAAAAACAAGATATTTTTTGTGTCACACCAGACTGAAAAATAGAGCCACAACTAGATGATTCTGCACCCAAGGCAAAAACATAAAGTTGCACCCTGTTTTCCACACATCCCAACGCTTTGCTGCTCTCTGAAAAGATGGGGAAAGGGTGGAGCTTGCACCATGGTGCTATAAATATACATAATACAGCATGAAGTCTGTAATTCACAATACCTGGTTTCATTTCAATTTATAAGTCCCATTTAGTCATTCCTTACCTGGATAGACTCCTCAGAGGGGAGTGCCTACACTCTTCCTGCTCTGTTGTTGCTTTCTACACACGGAAAAGAACACCTCTGCAGGGAAGCTGTTCCTGCTTGCGTAACCAAAGGAGAAGTGGTGGTGCTCCCTCTAAGCATGGAGAGCTTAGCTAGCCAGAGTATAATGGAATAGAGGTTGTGAAATGCACTCTCTTGCTAACAGCATGGCATGCTTTCATAGCGGATGAATTTTTCCCCAGTGTCCCTGAGATATACACATCTGGGGCAAGTGATTTGCTTACCTCACTCTTGTCACAAGTCAGCTGATAACGATTTTCAACTCCATATCGTTTTTCTCCTGTTTTGGCAAAAGGACTGATTGCTGTTCTTAAAGCTTGAGGCAAACAGACTATGTTCTGGGGACCATTTTGTTCGTTTTTTCTTTTTCTTTTTCTATTATTATTCCTGAGATATACACATCTGGGGCAAGTGATTTGCTTACCTCACTCTTGTCACAAGTCAGCTGATAACGATTTTCAACTCCATATCGTTTTTCTCCTGTTTTGGCAAAAGGACTGATTGCTGTTCTTAAAGCTTGAGGCAAACAGACTATGTTCTGGGGACCATTTTGTTCGTTTTTTCTTTTTCTTTTTCTATTATTATTTNAGATGTAAGACAATGGCTTTGCCATGAATACATACAGTAAGAATAAAGAGACAGGGTGTTTTTGAGCACCTGATCAACCCAACAATTTGTGAGCAGCATCAGGACCAACACCCATGCAAATTCACTTCTTCTCCCCCTTTTGTCCAATGCTTTATTTTTCAGTCACTTAATTAATATAGAAGAGGAAAGCTTTTAAATTTTTGTTACCAGCAACTAGAAATCCTTGTTGACTTGCACAACTGGAAGTGAGAAATGTTTACTGATTTACTGCAGATAACAGGAAGTTACCAGCAATCCTGATCTTCTATTCACTTTTGATCTGACAAAAATTGAAAACAGAAAATAAATGCCTTACAGTTCAGACTTCAGATGAGGCAGCTCTGAACAGTGAGGTCACATTGCAATGAAACCAGTCTCCTAGTTAGTAAGAAGGTTTGTTAATTTTATCCATGTGCACAAAATTTTCAGGCATAGTTCCCCACCCCTAGGATGCAGATATAGGGTGGGAATGTTTGGCCCTCCAGGTCTTTTGAACTTCAGTTTCTAGAAATTCCAGTCAAGTTGGCCAGTGGTTTAGAGCAGTGGTTCCCAAGCTAGAATAACACAGGTGTTCTTGGATTTCAAGTCCCAGAATCCTTCATCACCAGCTGTGCTGGCTGGGGTTTCTGGAAGTTGCAAGCCAAGAACACCTGGGTTACACAAGGTTGGGAACCACTATTTTAGAGAATGGATAGCAGGAACATAACCCCAAAATAGAAATCAGAAGAGAAATGTCCCAAAGCAATTTTTGTAAAATGAACATAACATGCAACAGCAACAAAAGTGCAATTGGCTTTCATGGATATGCAATGTACTTGGTTCTGCTCTAAACAAGGAATTGTGGACTTTAACATAAGCTACTTTCTTTTTTTTAAAAAAGAATCTGAAATGTGGATTTATCCCAAGATGCGAAGATCAACTTGGATCAACATGATGACCAACAAAGAGGTGCTAAGACAAATGAATAAAACTAAAGAATCATAAAACTCATAAAATCCTAGGCAGTGAGAATACTTCAGTCACATAATGAGAAATGCAAAATACAGTACAGTTTGTTGCAGCCGATCATTTTAAAAGAGGAGGAGAAGTGAAGGAGGGAAAATGCCTCATTCATTGGGAGACTGGTTTAGTTGCAACACATCACTGTTTAGAGCTGCCTTATCCAAAGTCAGCATAGCCATGATGATGTCCAACTTTCAGGAGAAGAGGAAAGAGAAGACAAACAGAAGGATATGGCATCATCCAAGCGTATAGAAAGTTATGGATGAGGGTCTCCCACCCTTGCTTTAGGCACAGTACTTTGTATACCAGAAAGACCAGCTAGCCAATTCATTTAGTTTATATGTTTGGCAGCTTCACACATCAACAACATTGCCTCCTTCCCATTATATGTAGGATCAAACAACCCATGATTATTCTTTCTTTCGCCTGATGCAAGACTCAAGTGGTTCTTCCTGCTTCTGCATAGGAAATACCTGTCAGAATTAAACAATGCTAGGATTTGCATTTCCTGTTGTATAGGGCAGCATGCTTCTGTTGCTTTTTTTTCTTTTAGTAGACTTTGCTGCAGGGAAAGAACTGAGCTGGCCTTCCTCAGCATTGTACCTTTAAAACATTTGGACCTTGACTCTCATCAGTCTTAGCCAACATGAACAGTAAGAAATACAAAGGATTATATCCAAAGTACGTCCAGTGCATCAGTTTGGGGAAAGGCCAAACTGGACCATAAAGAAGTCATTGCAATGTTGCTCCTTCATTTCTGCTTCTGATTTATTCTATGAATTTCACTAGCTCTTGCATATTCTGGACACTCTATGCAGATAAAATGGAGAACAGAGAAAGCACAGCTTCAGACGTGATCTATGCTTAGTCCTGTTTTTACCCTTTGGACTCACAGCCTAGACTGAACATCATCCCAGGCCAGATAAATGTCTATCCATCCATCTCCTCTATACCTGGGTCTCAATTCCAAGCTATTTACATTAAAATATATTTGTCAGAATGATCAAATTTAAAGACTGGTCTGAGAATCCTAAGATTTATCACCAAAACTGAGCCCATTTAAGTTAGTGAGAACTATGTTAGTCATGAACTATGATGTGAAAGGGTGTGCGGCGATAGAATCTCTTCATAAAATTATTCTGTCTGTCCTCTCCTTAAATAACCTCATTAAAACTGCCACTAGTAATGTACCAGATAATCTGTACTAAATAAACAAAAGAGTCAATATTTATTTGAAAGCAAACAAAACAGTATCATTCTCATCTAGTCATCAATTGCAGCTGGAAGTAAAACTCCTTTTATTTATGATTTGATCTGGCAAGAAAAAAACATTTTACTTTGTACAAATGTTTCATTAACTCTTTACATTCTCAGAGATTCACAGATGTTAGAACTGTCATCTTTGCTTCTGCGGCCACCCTTCTAAAAGTTCCACACTGAATAAAATACTTTCAAAAAGGCTGGGAAATACAGTACTATTAGAACAAAAAAAGATTACCTGTAGTTTCTTTGCCGGGAGAATATCTCAGGTGCCAACCAAGCTGGAAATGGAAGTCATGTAACAACACTTAAAAATTTGAGAACAATCATTAATACTCCCCTCTGAATTGCATTACTTATTGCTTCTGCAACAGTTAATCTGTAGCTGAAAAATGTTGGGGTACACAGACACCATCTCACTATGGCAGCATGTGTTTTCATAATGAAAGCCTACTAAATTGGTTTTTTTTCTCATCCAGTCATAAAATCTTTTTTTGTGTCCTTTGACCTTTTGACAATAATCTCCATGTCCTCTACCATTTTTGCCTGCTTTATCTCTCTTCCTGCTATCCATCCATCCATCTATCTTCTGGACCACCCATCTGACTGGTGGTCACTCTGCTATCTACCAGCCTACACTGATAACCTAACTCTATTGGTGCCCGTTGGGATGTGGGTCTTCTGCTTCCATTGGGAAAGAGGGCACCTTCTTTCTCCTCAAGTGGCACATGCAGCAGTGGATGATGAGTTGGGGACTACATACCAGCAGTTACAGTAGCTAGACTGGGTGGTAGTTTAGGCCTGAATGCCCCTTATTTCTTTCTCTCATAAACACAGGCAAACACACATACAAAGGAAACACAGACACACAGGCAAGAAACCTCTATATCTCTTTCAAGTATGCTCCTCACCTCCCCATGCAGGGACGGAGAGGTTTATACCTTCCCTCCCATGCACTGAGTTTCCATTGTGCCTACCCTAATGCCTGGATGATTAGTGGTAGGAACAGCTGAGATGCACTCCTCAGCTGTTTAATTAAATCACTTCATTTCCCCCAGTCACGTGGTCTTCAAATGGCATTTGGTTGATGCAAATCAATTAAGCTGCTTCAAAGTCTGGCTATTCCAAGTAGGAACATTCACAAAAATCAGCCTTGCTGATTATTTGGTAGTTTCCTCCTTTGCTATCTTGTGGTGCATCAATAATCTCTACACATGCAAATAAAGGTTGAATAATGACAGAAAGGTGCAAGGATGAATTGGATGACCACACTTCCATTAAGAACAGGTCTGAAGGAAAGGCCCCATCATAAGGGAGAGTGAGGCTACTGCCTTAGCCAACAGCTGTTGGACATCACAGCAATGTGTTTCTCATTTGCTTTCCTATTATCATATTTTTTTTACTGTCAGGGATGGGAGGAGATATGCCTGTGACATTTTCTTCCTCATGTAACAGAGTGACTTGGCTCAGCTTGGCTACTACACACCTTGACTTGGCAGGTTGTGTGTGGATGAGGGGCGTGTCATTGACTGTTCTGTCTCCATGTGTTTACCCCCCCCCCAAAAAAAGTCTTGGGCTAGCCCAAGCAAACTCAATGGATCGAGACAGACACTTATAAACCTTTTCCTGCAATTCTGCAGCCATTTCATTAGGGCAAGATACGAAGAAGGGCTGAAAGCAGCCTGGCACTTCTGTAAAAAAAGTGGTGAGAAAGCTTGGCTGGCAATATACTGCACATCCACACAGGTGGCCACTGTTTCTGGAGCCACTGATCAGTTGACAATCATTTTTTAAGGAAGGTGCCATGTGGAAGCATCCTCAGCCACAACCCAGTCAACAATTCCGCCAGAAGGATATCTTGGGCATCAGCCAAAACACTCAGTTCCTCACAGTCGAGGCCAGCTTTGACACTGCTGTCAATTCTTGGAAGAGGACCATGTCCTTAATTAAAATACATGCGGTTGGGCTCGATCCTGCTAAATAGGTCTGGAGTATGCCTCCCGTTTGAAAAAGGCTGCCTCCTTCTCCGCCCGTGCTGCAGCTTCTTGGGAGATGACACATATCCTTTTTTATCTTAGACCTGCAGAAATATATAGAACAAATAAATACAGTACTGGGAAGCCCCTTTAGCTTCGCACGGGGCCAAAAAAAAAAAAAAAGAGGTAGAAGTCTTGCTTTGTATAACACGCTGGCCACGGAAAGGTGGCGCGGGGTGGTGGTGGAATCGGAGAGAAAGGGAAGCATTAACCGAGAGAAGCGATGAGGAGTTTATATATACAGTACTGTATATATATAAGAGTAAAGAGAGCAGAAGAAGCTGGGCGAAGAGAAAGTGTGTCTCAGACGGATGCACATGGAAAGCGTGTCAGAGAAAAAAGGGGGGGACCAGAGAAAGCGGGAAGGAGGGAAGGGGGAAGCAAAGGAATGCCTGCCCAAGGAAAGCAGACGGGCTGCATGAAAGAAAGAGAAGCGGAACGGGCGAAGGCTCGAGGGCACCAAATCGCGTGTCGGGAGAAACCGTGTCGAGGGAGGCGGAGAAGCCAGCCAGCCAGCC